ATTAGTTAACTTTCAGCCACACAAGCCTCTTATTTCAGAATGTTCACTTTGTCTGGTTTTGTTGCAGTCTGCCCCAAATAAGATATTTCGAGTCTTACTTTATTTGTTGGTTGTAATTTTACTGAGGGCAAAAATTTTGTCCCAAACTGTATATTAGTTACCAAATGCCGTTAACTAATTGGTAAAAAAGTGCAACAAATAGAAATTTATGCCAACAGCTACATACCGCTTTATAATTTACAGTATTAGAGACTGAATTATTACTGTGGTTTTGTAATTTTGCTTTTAATTAATTAAACACCTTCGTAGAGTTAGTAGGCACGTCGCAATAAAAACATACGAAAAAAATTTTTTTCTAAAATCTCAATTACTATGTGAATCAAATGATCTTGGTACTGTTGTGAAACTAATTAGCTATTTTTTTTTTTGAAAAAAAATAGTGACGCTTTCAGTTTTTTTATCATTCTAAAGCAGCCATTTGATAAAGTACAGCATGCACATTACATGCAGTGTGTATCAATTTTTATTTATTCGTTACTCAAAAACAACCGCATAAAACTTAACAATCAAAATAAAGCTCAAAACCTACAAAATTTTTTGATATAAAATTAATAATCTATTATTTCACCGTTTTTTTCTATTATTAGCTCACATCTCTTTCTCATTATTATTGATTTGATACAGTTAATTAGAATGCTGTTCGAAATTCTCCCCATTCATATACTGCTCTAATTTCGAAAAAAATTTAAGCATACGCATTTCTACAATAGCCCAAAGATTTTCGTTTTGGGTTTAAGTTTGAGCAATTGCTCTTGATTGCGTGTTAGTGTGGTAACTTTTTTGGCACGACCACTTACTGAATTGTCCCCTTCTTTTTTAAACTATAATAGATAGTTAACATTATGATGCCAGTCCTAGAATGTATTTCCTCATTCAGCCACAAGTGTAATATCATTTTTCTTTGAGTGTTTTTATTAGAAGACGGCAATTTCTCAACAAATGCCCAGCACACCATTATTGATATTACAGTTTAGGACACGCTGTTTATATGTTTAAAATATAACACGCATTGGTTTTAATTTGGAAAAGTTATTAACGCTTGAAGTACGCGAAAAAATTTTTTTTCAAAAACTTTTGTTACACACTTTATACTTCTTTGAATGGCTGCTTTAGAAGGGTGAGGGTACTGAAAAGTTACTATATTCGAAAAAATTACAGTCGCACCTGTCTATTTGCATAACGTATATTTGCATATTTTGTTCATTTGCATAAAGGAGCCCCAGTCCCTTATTGGGACCTATTAGCTATTTGCATAACGTGAACGTGCATATGCATTAAAGGTGGACCCTAACTCTAGTAGATCCGACCAACGTATATTTGCATATGCATACTACAAAAGGAGAGATCAACCAGATTAATCTAAATTATATTATTATTGTGGCGTAAAAAATTACCAAATACACCACTTCATTAATTCTTTTTTGCTTTTTAAACAGATTTGGTAGCGTTGTTGACTGCTTGATGTAATGTTTTTCATCATAAAATGATTGCGATAATGTATTGTATGAGAGGACATCAAATCATGTGATAACGTATATTTGCATATTCTGTCTATTTGCATAAAAAATCTACCGGTTCCGACAGTATGCAAATAGACAAGGTGCGACTGTATAATTAATTTAACTTCACAACAGTACCAAATTATTTTGATCCACATAGTAAATATGTACGATAGAGATTATTTTTTTTAAAAAAATTTCCCATATATTTATCAAAGAGTGGCTAATATTTTTGGCCAATATGTGTACATCTAAGGCTCTAGTAACCGTTCTATTGTTTTTGTATAACGGTGCAAAAATCGTCTGTTATCCATTGTCGAAAACTGTAAACTAAAATGTTGCGACCGTTCTGATGATTGCGTTCTTTGTTGACCCGTTCTGGGGTCAACCCGTTTCAAGATTGTCACAAATTTATTCGACGTCATCACATAAATTGTGCACTTTATTGATGCAAGAAATTATTCTAATGTGACAATCCCGAAACGGGTCAAATTCTAGAACGGGTCATAACATAATTGTTACTCTTATAATGATAACTCCATTTATGCAACTAAATTTTATCCGCAAAAATTGCTGGTGTGGTTGAAATTTTGGTTTTTTTTTAGTTACTGGGCACTGATTCATATTAATCTTAATATGTCTAATTTTTTTTTTGCGTAATGATGTTCACTCCACTCGTGCTACACAAGATTGACGCCTCATTGTCATGCCTGGTATACATTTTTCATGCAGTTTCACAATCCCATATATTTCTGCTCAGTTAATCTATTTAGGTTAACGTCCAAAAAATTCTAGCTAATTTGCGTAATACAATGCACAGTTATTAAAAACACACCGTCCCAACTATAAGCCATTGGCTACATACTCTAAAACTTACCAATCTCCACATACTACGCACCAGATCTCAAATGTATCCTGGTCAAAAATATAGACAACAACAGCAACAGAATTCTCCTAACCCGGCTCGTCCAGTCGGAGCGCCAGGTCAACATAATGCGCAATATCCACCTGTGGGTGCGCCGGGACAACATAATTCCAATTATCCACCTCCTCCACCTTACGGTGGCCCAGGGGGATTTGCTCCGCCCGGACCGTATGGTGCATATCCACCGACGCCATCAGCTGGAGTTTATGGGCCTCCACCTAGTGGACCCTATCCTAATGCTGGTTATGCACCTCCACCTGGTCCTGGTGCAAGCTATCCTCCTCCACCATCAGGAGGATACGCTCCACCACCAAATCCGTACGCTCCACCGCCAAATCCGTATGCTCCACAATCAAATCCATACGCTCCACCACCAGGTCCCTATGCTCCTCCATCCGGTACAGGTTATCAGTACGGTTATAATGCAGGCCCCCCACATCAAGGATTCCAATTAAGCACTTGCACGGGACGAAAAAGAGCTCTACTGATTGGGATTAATTACATGAAAACCAGGTTTGAATTGAAAGGTAATGTCCCAGCAGGAGACGTGTATGTGAAAAAGAGCAAGAGGGGATTGAGATAGGAATATTGCAATTGGTCAGATTTCTTTACTTGGCAGTTTCAGGTCATTCAGAGATACGAGACAACTCACTCTTTGCCTTTTATTATAATCGTAAAACATAAACGAAGGCTGTATAAATGACGTAAAGAACATAGAACGTTTTATTATTAAACACTACAACTTTCGCGAGTGCGATATGGTGATTCTCACTGACGAACAGCGCGATCCAAAACTAATTCCAACCCGCTCCAACATTATTGCTGCTATGCGTTGGTTGGTGAATAACGCGGCCCCGAACGATTCGTTCTTTTTACACTTTTCGGGTCATGGTGGGCAGAAAAGGGATAACGATGGGGATGAAGAGGATGGTTATGACGAGACAATTATGCCCCTGGATTTTCAAACAGCCGGAGAGATAGTTGACGATGTAAGTATGTGGACGGGGAGGATAGGGAATCAAAATTTTAGGGATAAAATGATACTTTGTTGGAATTGGAGCTTGAAGGGTAATTAACTGGTGAAATGGGATTTATGCGAAAATAAGTCGGATGATTATGAACAGTTATAATTGGACAAGAGTGTCTGCGAAGAATAGAATACATTTAATAATTGCAAGATCGTTGTTTTACGATATACACTATAGTATCATTGATCTTCAGAAAGTTAGTCATATACTATTGATTATGTCCAAACTTTTCTCATTCCTAATTCGATCTCTCTTCTCTGACTTTTAAAAGTCTCTTTTACTAATATTTCTCTGCCTTTCCATCTAATTCAGGAGATGCACGCTATTTTAGTACGTCCACTTCCCGCAGGCTGTCGTTTAACCGTAATATTTGACTCCTGCCATTCCGGTACCGCTCTCGACCTTCCATACGTTTACTCGACGAAAGGTTTGATCAAAGAACCTAACCTCCTTTCTGATGCAAAATCCTCACTCATGGACGCTGGGAAGAGCTATCTACGTGGAGATATAAAAGCAATAGGTACTACATTGTTTGCGCTCGGGAAAAAAGCAGCGACTGGACAGAAAGTTGCAAGAAAGAATAGGGAAACCAAGAGTAGTCCCGCAGATGTCATAATGTTCAGTGGGTGAGTTTTACGAGTGCAATAAAGGAGGAGGCGAGGAGAGGAAGAGAGGGAGAGGATTTGACACTTTGAGCGTTCAAATTTGAATAACATCCTGGCTTTACATGGGGCTAGTTGTAAAGATTTACAGACATCCGCTGACACAATGGAGGCTGGGCAGAATACCGGGGCTATGTCTTATGCATTTATCAAAACGTAAGATGCCTGCTCGTACTTCAAACGTTGATATTTCCATGATAAGATAAGATTTGATGACATGGCTGTATTTCTTGTTTGGAAATTCTTTACAGATTAAGCCAAAACAGAAACATAACGTACAAACAGCTATTATATGGTGTTAGAGAAATTCTTGCTGCAAAGTATTCGCAGAAGCCGCAGCTGAGTTCGTAAGTACTGAGAATAAGTTGTTGATTAGTAATAGAGATGCTTACAGACTGTATGCTAAAATGAATAAGTAATCGTGAACTGATTGTACTATGTCGATTTCAACGTAGGTCACATCCAATGAACATGGACCTTATATTCACAATGTGAAAAGTTGTATAATGATGTTGGGAAAGCAGATTGCCGCGGTTTGGAGACAATTCGATTGATAGGATCAAGACCGCGCTGAATTTTTTTTTGAGGTAAATTTACAGCATAGTCAATATAGAATTTGAGTCTAATTTTCGTATTCGTAAAAAAAATCGTAAGTTGTAATATTAACGTAATATGATGACTTTGCTAGAAGTAGGAGCCAAGCATGAAATAGCATTATTATTATTGTAGTTTGTCTTAAAACTTGTGATGATGACTTGTATTAAATCAAGAGTCATTTATAGATCTGTTTATATTCTATTAGTCGTTTGTATACATCAAATAAAAAATGTATTATTCATGTCTGTAAGCCAGGAACCGTTTGTGGTCATTGGGAAGCATATATTGAACGAATCAGTTGCCATGCATCAATAAAATAGTTCCCTACTGTCCATCGTAAGAATACAGACTTTGGTACACAATTTCTGAAATTTTATTTGAAGCCATCTGAACACATTTACCTGGTTTGTTTTCGAATACGACGTTTAATAGAATTGAATTTGCATAGTGAGCTTACTTTTGTGGATTGAAGCATTGTCTTGTTAAAACACATGCTCTTCAACTTCTTGCTCCAATCATGCATGCTGAACTAGCTTCATGCCTGTAGTAGTAGGGAGAATAGTCGTGCTTTTCTTTGTTATTGAAATCTTCGAGTTTTGAGACTGTGCAATCCATTCTCATGTTCCGAGCCCATTGTATTCGATCTTTGTTGGGTTTGTTCCCAAATCAGTGTTGGGAAAACATATACTACCCTACCAATGCTGTTGTTGGTTGCTTCTGCTATCATCACCCAGCCGCGACCATTGACATGTTCGAGATTTATCTTATCACCTTTTGGTACCAATCGAACAGTGAAGATTTCTAAATGGACGAAATCAATGCTTGCTGGCAAAATACGACAGTTTTATCGATACGCGAATAAAATACCCTTGAGGGCTGATTTTGTAAAAAAACCGGGTATTATAAACGGATGAAACTACTTAGCTTCTCTCGGCACACCACGAACGAGGTACCTTATTGCTTATTGGCAATATGCCTCGCAGAACACGATTATGTTAACAGCATAGCGTGTGAAATCTAGCATGGAATTTACATTAGCCTACCAAAAGAACGCAACAATCAATAAAACGAAATCAAATTTAAATTATTCAGCAAATTATTCTGAAATTTGGACCGAATAAACTATTATCAATTGTAATTAAGCCATCAAGTTACTAAGGCACAAATTTTGGGTAATTATAATATAACGTAATGCATTATTACCAAATTTTACTACCATATTAATATCATAATTAGGTCGTTCCAGAAACACTGCATACTGTCATTGCAATATAAAGAAAATAAAGCAACCACAGATACAAAACGGATTAGTGGCAGACCTTGCATATTAACTGAGGCACTTAAAACGGATTGTAAAAAAGTGATTGCAAGCAACCATTTAGTGTAATTCATGAAAAATTGGCTCTACAATTAGGCGGAATTTACGTGATATGGAGTATAATAGCCGTATTGATATACATCCTTGCTGAGTAACAAAAATATAAAAGATCGCCGGATTATCATTGGAAGGGTTGTTGTATTAATTAGTATGGAATGATTTACGTTATTCAAAAATGAATAATGTTGACTACAGTCAAACATGGTGGAAGCGGGTGGGCATGTTTTACTTGGAATGAACTGGACCCTAGAACATAAGATTAATAGTAAAAGATGCAACTAACTGTTTATAAAAAACGAGCCGGATGGATTGTAACACATCAATAGTAGGCATTACTAATTACTACTATTTCCTGCATGATCTCCGGAGAGAATCAAGGCTTCATCAAGCAATGCCCGGAGAAAGATTCCCCAAGCGCCATTTTCATTACAGTTCCGCAATTTTGGCATTTGTACATCTCGAACCCTCCTATTTTTTGAATGTTCCCACACCAGCTGCAAGTTTTCGAAGTGTAGGCTTCATTTTCTTCTGCCTTAGCCACAAGACGTTGGCGAAATTGATAGTGGCCCCAACAGAGCATTTACAAACGGCTTTGCGTGATATCTTTGGAGTTTTTCGGTTTACCATATTTGATACCTCAAAAGGAGGAATGATGATGGCATCAAATTCGCGAGTGAAAAATGCGACGCTCTTTTTGTGAACTTCGCTTTGTAGGCGTTTGATTCTTCGTCGCATTCGAAAGATTGCCGTATCGAGTCGCAAGGCCTGCTTCTTCTTACGCTTTGAACTAGAGGCCGCCAGTTTGTCCTTGGTCGACTGTAGATTATCCATGTGTTGACACAGACGAATAATTCGTCCAATGTCGTATTGGCCAATTTTGCCTACACCTTTGGTTGGAGAGTACCACGTGAACGGTGTACGAATGCCAGGGTCAATGGAAACTGCATCAACAGCCATCCGCTTGGGTTTCGCGGAGTTGTCTTTGCGCCTCGTAAACCCAGGAAAGTTTCCATTCGTTGGTTTTGCGAATATAGGTGAACTTGCACAGTCGGATGTTACGCGGTGGGAAACAGGCCACTTATTGTTATGCCTTTTTTTTCGAAATGAAGAGGCCATAAATCGCGTTTGTCGTCCGGCGTGATAACAGGCTTATGGCGGGCTGCGGAAAGCATTGATGGAGTATGGAGATAGGTGGTTCCAATGCGCTTTGTACCCTTAGCGTTTTTTGTACAATTCGCGTTTTTTGTACCGTTAATTTTTTATATACTGTGTTTTTCATGATTCTTGAAAAACTCTGCTCACGAATTACTATCGTCTGTCGTAAATCCTTTCGAGAGCGAAATGATAAAGATGAATGGTGCGTGGTTGATCCGTTAATTATCCCATCTCTAAAATTAATACACATATATAGTTAAAAATAAATAAAATAAATAAAAAAGGGAAAAAACCAACAAAGTATAATAATCATACCTAGCAGTTAATGCTTCATCAATCGCCTCATCGATAACGCCTGCAGGCGCTTTTCCAGGTTTTTTTAGAGCCTGCTGTATAAAGTCGATAGTGATGTCAACGTCACTTTCTGTTGAAGCAGCATTCCAACACGCACAACAGTTCGCAGCGTTTACCCCATACGCATGATCTCTGAAGTCTTGTCCTCACGTTCATTAACATCTTTTCCGACACGAACATCTGTGTAAAGTCTAAGCTTATCTTCATAATGGTTGAGATTTATCCAAACCCGTCGTGATGGACTAACACCCGAATCCTTGGTATAGACGCGACGGTATCGACTCCAGCGGACAACTGCATTATATGCATATCTCGACAAGCCCATCCACCGTTTTAGTAGCTGCTTTTGAAGATGATTTGGATAGACTTTGATTGGCAGCGTACGATTGAAACGTTGTCGTTTGTTGCGTGCTGCCGTTTTCCTGATCTTGCGTTTTTTCCCTAGAGTGGGGTTTTCGTCGGGTGACTCTTCTTCCTTGCTTGACTGCAGAGATATCTTGGGAAAGTTCGTGCTCATCGGTCGCTTTGTTGACGAGAACCATGGGTTTTGTAGTACAGTCGTACCCCCCTATAATCACACAGTCGGGAACAATGCAACTTTTGTTGAAAATGTGCTTATAAAGAGGTTG